TTTCTGCATTAACCAGTCCAGGAACACTCACCACCTCCGAGCCCCCCGACTCCCCTCACTGGACTAGCCACGCCACTATATCTCCTGCTGGGGGTGGGTTGGGGAGCATCCAGCAGTGGTATTCAACCGGTTTGCACCACTTCGGCTAAACCGGTTGTTAAATGGCTGGCTGGCCCCACCCCTCCCAGAAGTCCCCACGCGCCCCATTTTTGCTCCCAGACGTGGCCCCTCCGCCACCCATTCTTGTTCCCAGCAGGCTGCAGGGAGGCCCACTAGGCCCCAAAAGGGGGTGTGGCATGTCCCCACGGCCCATTTTCGCTCCCAGGGAGGTGCAGGAGGCCGAGTGCTGCCTGTCACACTCCCTGGCCACGCCCACCATGGCCCCGTCCACCTAGCAGGCCCTTAGGGCAGAGAACCGGTTGTTAAATTATTTGAATCCCACCACTGGGAGCATCCCACCCATGGATGTGTCGCCGGCCCAAGAGGCAAGAGGATCTGAACCGCTTCCTCCACTTCAGGAGAGGCAGAATGTAGATTTCTGGAACGGAACTCCTCCAGAGATGGAAACCACCCTGAGAGACCCTCCCCGCCCGCATCCGAATCAGCCCCCCCCCCCCCAATCCAAGTCCACTCACTGTGTGGCTGTTTCGGTGAGCAGGAGATTCTCAAGGTCACTTTGATCCAAAGCAGAGCTGAATTTCTTCCCAGCGCTTTTCCCCAGGGAGGTCTTCAATTTCTTGACCAGCTTCCTGGGGGTGTTGGTGAGGGTCAAGGGGTCTTCCCCACAGCAGCAACTATACACCTCCACCTTCAGCTGGAAGTCTGGCCCAGCTCCCTCGCTAGACAGAACGGGGGCAGGGTTCAGAAGGACGAATATGTATGTATGTATGTATGTATGTATGTATGTATGTATGTATGTTTTCGGAGGTTCTCGCGGGTATTTGTATGTGGATCTTTGGTTGTTCGGGTTTTCTCCCGCGTAAGATTCGAAGTATCTAGGCAACGTTTCGATGAAGTCTTATTCATCATCTTCAGGCTTCTGTCTTCGGCTCTGTCCTTCTCAGAGTGATGTGAGCTTGCAGCTGATTCTTCCTGGAAGAAGCAGCTGCAAGCTCACATCACTCTGAGAAGGACAGAGCCGAAGACAGAAGCCTGAAGATGATGAATAAGACTTCATCGAAACGTTGCCTAGATACTTCGAATCTTACGCGGGAGAAAACCCGAACAACCAAAGATCCACATATATATATATTTATTTATTTATTTATTTATTTATTTATTTAAAGGGACTACTTCTGTTTTTTTTTGTTTACCTTGGCTGCTCTTCAGTGGAAATGCTCCCAGCCCAATTTAAAGTAGCCCCCATAAGATCCACACATAAAATACTAGCTCGATACTCGTGCTTCGCTACAAAACTATGTGGCCGGGCTTAGTTTTTGGAGGGGAAAAAAAAATTCTGTCTCTGCCTACCAGCATCCATCGGTATTCATCTGGCTAGCGTCCTGTCAGTGTGTGAGAGAGTTGAGGGCTGCTTGGAAACTGAAGGAATATTTGCTGTGTGAGCAAAGAGGAGACAGCAAGGAGCCTGGGCGTGGCTTAGCTCAACTGTACTAAGGCTGCTTGGTGCTGTGAAAGTAAAACTGAGACCGAAACTCCTCTGCTTGTGTTTTGCATTTGGAACAGATTTCTTTACAGGTGGGGAGGGGGAGTAGAACTCCTTAGCATCAGAGCATGTTAATAATAATAATAATAATAATAATAATAATAATAATAATAATAATATAGGAAATATTAATGCTCTGATGGTCATTTCAAGAAATCCTGTCTTAGTGAGCCCCTAGAAGCCAAGAGAAACATACGTGCCAAATTTCAAGTTTGTAAGCTTTATGATTCTGGAGATTTTGTGAGGATGCGGAATTGGTATTTTGGTTTTATATAGAGATATTAAAAGCACAGAACAGCATGTGCAGAAATCAGCAGATTCAAGCAAAGTGACAAGTCCCTAAATTTGCTGGAAAGTGACTGAGCCCAGTCTCAGTTTTTGACCCGAGCTAAGGGCCCATCGGTGGATTCCTCAAGAACAGGCCAGTCAACTGTACTCCCAGGTGACATTCACAGTTGCTCTAATTTTCAGGTGCAAGCGGAGATGGCCTCCCACCAAGCTTACATGTTCTAAAAAATTTTTTAAAACTGTGGGATTTGTTCAAGATTTTGGGTGCCCTTATCGGTTCAGGAATACTCACAATATTATTGCATTTTCTAAACATATGTCTGTTGCTGCCTTATCCACAATAAGCAAGTCTGAATCATACACCTGAGCTCCTATTTTGAACAAGCAAAAAATTGAGTAACGTTTGCTTCCTGCAAGGGAAAAAAAGAAAAAAGGCAGAACAACTTCAAAATAATGTATTGTGTCACACACTGTACGGTATGTACTTACTTACTTACTGAATTTATATTGCCGCCTATTCGCCCATGGTGACTCAAGGCGGCTTACAGAATATAAAACCACATTTAAAACAATAAAAACTAACAAAAAGAATCAAATAAATTAATAGAGTACAATATAACAAAATCACTCTCCATCTCCCACCCCCCAGTAAATTTATGGGATTTAATAACTGCTTCAATCTTAGGGAAGCCACACACTGTACACAACTAGAACAACTAGACACCAGAACATTTTTTCCCCAAACGCCATCACTCTGCTAAACAAATAATTCCCTCAATACTGTTCAACTATTACAAAGTCTGCACTACTATTATTGTTAATCTTTTCAACACTCCTTATCACCCATCCCCTCCCACTTGTGACTGTATGACTGTAGCTTTGTCGCTTGTATCCTTACGATTTATATTGATAGTTTCCTAGTATGGTTTGATTGCTTATTGTACCCTATGACAATCATTAAGTGTTGTATCTGATGATTCTTGATGGATGTAACTTTTCTTTTATGTACACTGAGAGTATTTGCACCAAGACAAATTCCTTGTGTGTCCAACCACACTTGGGCAATAAAGAATTCATTCATTCATACACTGGATGAAACATAGTAATAAAAGTTTGAAACAAGAAACAGTGAAGCAAGCAACTTGGTTTGATGTCCTTTAACGTCTATACAGCTTAGCAAATCTCTCACTTTACAAATGAGCTTTCAATAGCTAGCTCAGAAATTCATTGGGGTTTCTGATCATACATTACGTTCGGAAGTTAAAAACGCTTGAAATCAATTTCATCCCAAAACGATTCATTAAAGCACATAGAGAGGAACTGTACAAACAGCCTCTTCAGAATTATGAACGCAGAATGAGGAATTACGAGTATTTTGCTGGGTGAGCACCTCTGAACTTACAGAAGCTAAAAGTTAAACCCATCTGTGGGAAGGGGAAGGTGGCAAAAACATGGTTAACCTTAGAGGCCTAGCTGGCATCTCTTTCAGCTACTGCGCTAACCGCAGACAAACTTTCATTCATTTTACCTGCCAGGTATATTTTCTGTCTCTGGCAGTTCAGCACGTTCATGGCCACACACATGGAAGGAATCCCTGCTGTTATTGCACACTTTTCTTTTCTTTTTTGTATATGTTTTATTTGCAGTTTTCCTCTAACAACCAACATTTTTTGTGGACAATGTAACTTTCCTTTTCTTTTTTGTATATGTTTATTTGCAGTTTTCCTCTGACAACCAACATTTTTTGTGGACAGTGTAATGACTGGGTTAACATATTTTTCACACAGTGCTCACAGCAATAATACAATTAAATATACAGAATTGTTATCTTCCAACTTCTAATCTTAATGTGGTTATAATTATATTATATTCTTTTATGTATCAATCTATGCTATACTATTTTCTCAATTTATACTTATTTCTTTATTTTCCCGTTTGTTGGGGTTCTTCTATATTGACCTCTTTACCTTTAAACAATACTATTCTCTCTTTCAATACTATTCTCTCATTTTTTTATCACTTTCTCCAAAAGTATATCTAAACATTAATAACATTTCTTTATACAATATACTTATTAACCCGTTAGGTCACTAATATTTTAATATTGTAAATATCACTCTGTGTTCTACCACATTTTCAATATCTCAATTTTCTATAAACATCAATAAAACCAGTTGTCAGTAAGATTTAATCAGTCCCAAGATTATATCTCTAAATCCCCTGAATTTATAGTCCTTGCAAACCATATTTTCCAGTAACGTATGAGAATATTGAAGAAAGCTAATAGTAGGAATGTGTAAATATGGTCATTTTTGCCTTGAAATGTTAAAAGAACTGGATTGACACTGTTTGCATAAAGATGTATTTAAAGAAATAAAAATTAAAAACTTGAAAAAAAACCCTATATTTTCCAACATATTTTTTGCAACCTGTTAATGATAATAAATACATTTAAATATACCTAGTCCTAGTCTTCCACCTACTAATTGTAATATATTTATGGTTATAATAAATTCTATTATATATGTGCCACTTTTTTCCCAGTTTAAACTTTCCACTTATTTATATTGGTTTTCAATATAATTACTATATTACCGGTTGTTGTTGTTATTATTATTATTATATATAATAACTATCCCTGCACACTTTTCTGAAGAGCACGTGTTCAAAAGGAAAAAAGTTTTCATCAGCCCATTTCGGACACTGCAATTCACATGCTCAGCTATAAACTGACACTTATAGAACTTGCCTGTGAGAATAAATGCTGGATGATGCTTTGTACTGAATCAGCACTGATGAAAAGCTTCCGCTTGGCTAAATAGGTTGCATAACTACTTAAAAAAATAAAAAAAAACCATACATACTGTCTCTGCTGTTGAAATGATCGGAGTTTTTCCACATCAACGGAATTCGCAGATCTAAAAGAAAGAAGGGGGGAAAAATAAATTCATTGCAACTCCTAACCCAATCCAAAAATCCAGAATAGATTCTATTTTCTAGAAATGTTCTCTCTCGATATTCAAGTGTTCGTTCAGCATTAATAATGCTGGCTGGGGAATTCTGGGAGTTGGAAGGCGGCAAATCTTCCACAAGTTGCCAAGTTTGAAGACCTCCTGCTGTAAGCAGTTACTACCATGAGCTGTGGTGGCGCAGTGGTTAGAATGCAGTACTGCAGGTTACTTCTGCTGACTGGCAATTGCTGGCAGTTCGATTCTAACTGACTCAAGGTTGATTCAGCCTCCCATCCTTCCAAGGCCAGTAAAACGAGAACTCAGATTATTATTGGGGGCAGTGTGTCGACTCTGTAAAACTGCTTAGAGAGGGCTGCAGAGCACTGTGAAGCAGTATATAAGTCTAAATGCTATTGCTGTCAGGTTTGGTGTAAAAGTAGCACTTGGAAAGCAAGTCTTCGGTTTTTGTTTTACTTACTTATATTCCACCAAAGTGATTCCCTCTCTACCTTGAGACTGGAAGCAGATTTTTTGCTTCTTTTTCTACTCAAATTGGCACTGAAAATGTAAAACTATACTTATTTACAAGAGAATCACAGAATTTGCATAGGTGCAAAACCCTTTTTGTGTTAAGGTAATGGAGGAATTGACCCTCCAAGCCAAGTCTCATCAGAGCCAAGGAGATGAAACTGGAGCCGACATTTAAGTGGGAAAGGCATCAGTGCCAGATGAGAGCCAGATGAGCACAAATTTATTGTGTTCCCCAGTTGTTCCCCAGTTGCAGACAACAGAAAACCAATGTACCTGAAATGCCAACCTTCCCTCTACAGGCACGATCTTTAGCATCAAAATCTGAACATCTAACAAAAGAAATAAAAAATATTAATTAGAAAGAAAAAAAAAAGTTCACTGTTTTCCCTTCTCTTCCAAGGAAACCTCATCAGCAATCAGATAAATGGATACCACTAATAATTTAAAGCTAAACCTTTCAGGGATTTGAAACCTCATACATTTCTGCATTCATTACAACATACTTGTCTCTTGTACACCTTCAGATATGAAATGCATATGGAATTCTTATACAAGGAAAAAGCGGATTGTAGGTGCCACTTCCAAAAGCCTTTAAAAACATCAGTTGCAATTGAAAAAAATCACAGTTCAGCTGGGTAAGTGTATATATATTTACTGATTTCTGACTGTTCTGTGATTGAAGTCATTCAGCCACCAGTAACAGATTAAAAGATTTGGAAGAGATCTTGTAGGTCATCTAGTCCAACCCCCCCACCCAAGCGGGAGACCCTACACCATTTCTGACAAATGGCAGTCCAATCTCTTCTTGAAAGTTTCAAGTGATGACGCTCCCACAACTTCAGAGGGCAAGTTCTGTTCCATCGGTTGATTGTTCTCACTGTCAGAAAGTTTCTCCTTATTTCCAGGTTGAATCTCTCCTTGTTCGGTTTCCAACCATTATTCCTTGTCTGGCCTACAGGAGCTTTAGAAAATAGCTTGACCCCCCGACCCCCATGACACTCCCTCAAATATTGGAAGACTGATATCATGTCTCCCTTGATCCTTCTCTTCCCTAGACTAGCCAGGCCCATAATAGAATAGGTATTGAAAGACAAGCAGTATTTGGACGTACGAGGCCCGAGAGACCTCGCAGCATTGTTAAAGTCTCCTGCAAGAGTTGCTTGTTACCATTCACTCCAAGGCTTATGAATGAAGGGTCTTCCAACTTGACAGCTTTAAGACTTGTGGACTTCAAGTCCCAGAATTCCTCCTCCGGTCTTGTTAGCTTGGGAATTCTGGGAGTTGAAGTCCACAAGTCTTAAACTTGCCAAGTTTGAAGACCCTGAGAACTGTGGGAATGACACTATCGGCCGACTTAGGGACTGTGATAGCATGGCCAGCAGATGGCACCAACCTATCATTTGCAATAGGAAACATGGAAGAGACAGATTGCAAACATTGAGTAACCAAATCACTTCTGGCCAATTGTACTTTTATCTCACCCTCTCTTACTTGATTGTGGCTGATCCCCATTGTGTCTTCATGGGGCCAGTTGAGAAATCTACAAAGTTACTCTGTCATGCAGACAACCATGCAGTTAAGTCAATGAATAATCTCCAGCCCCTCCAATTCTGCTCCTCTTGCAATTTCGTTGTTTTAAATGGTTGCAAACCAGAGTTTCGCTACTTTGTTCTATTGCTTTATCTCGGCTAGAAAGTTTCCACCAACCCAGAGAGGAAGCGAAGCAGGGGGAAAAGCCCAGGGGGGTCCTGTGGTTTTAAGAGGAGGGAGCCAAAGACGGGGAGGCCAAGAAAAAGCCAAGGAGGGAAGAAAGGCAGGACATTGCAGACCATTTGGCGCAATCCAGACTGGGAGGATTGGAGTTGACTGGGAGATCAGAAACTTTGACTGCTTGACTCCTGGAGCATCAAGATGCTGAGTGTGTGTGTGCACGCACACTTGTGTGTGTGTGTGAGAGAGAGAGAATGAGAAAGAGAGAATGAGAGAGGGAGGGAGGGAGGAGAGAGAATGAGAGAAAGAGAGAAAAAGAGAGACAGAGACTAGGAGAGAGAGAAAGAGAGGGAATGAGAAAGAGAGGGAGAGAATGAGAGAGAGAATGGGAGAGAATGAGAAAGAGAAAAAAACAGAGAGAATGAGAGAGAGGGGGAGGGAAGGAGGGAGAGAGAGAGACAGAAAGAGAGAGAGAAACAATGAGCAAGAGAGAATGAGGGAGGGAGGGGGAAGAGAATGAGAGAAAAAGAGAGACAGAGAGAATGAGAAAGAGAGAAAGAAAGAGAGAACGAGAAAGAGAGGGAGACAATGAGAGAGAGAATGGGTGAGGGAGGGAGAGAATGAGAAAGAATAAGAGAGCGGGAGAGAAACAGAAAGAGAGTGAGAGAGAGTGGGAGTGAAGGAGGGAGAGAGAAAGAAAGAGAGAATGAGAGAGAGAGAGAAAGAATAGAAAAGAAAGAGGAAAGAAAGAAAGAAATAGGAAAGAAAGAAAAAGAAAGAAAGAAAGAAAGAAAGAAAGAAAGAGAAAGAAAGAGAAAGAAGGAAGGAAGGAAGGAAGGCAGAAGAAAGAAAGAAAGAAAGAAAGAAAGAAAGAAAGAAAGAAAGAAAGAAAGAAAGAAAGAAAGAAAGAAGGAAGGAAGGAAGGCAGAAGAAAGAAGGAAGGAAGGAAGGAAGGAAGGAAGGAAGGAAGGAAGGAAGGAAGGAAGGAAGGAAGGAAAGAAAGAAAGAAAGAAAGAAAGAAAGAAAGAAAGAAAGAAAGAA